TTTAGTTTAATATTTGTAGTTAAACTATGGCAATACAAATGGTAGGCTAATATATCCATCAAAAATGGCTGCTATTACCATATATATAAAAAAAACCTTACTACTCAGGCCTACTGGTAAATTGCTGCTAAAAACTGGTCAAGGAAGTATATAAATCTAAGTATATAAGTATATAAATATACTTAAGTATATATAAGTATATAAAAATGGTTAGACCCTGCTCTATATTAGAGGAGCTAATTTGGTTCTCAAAATAGGCAGTCCGGTACTAAAATCGCACCCAGTTCCGGCGGTGCGAAAACGCCAAAAAGTGGGTAGTTACACAATTAGTTCTGGTACTATGAAAAGGTTCCCGCGGTGCGAAAGGCCCTCATATGTCTGAAATTCAAGTACTTTCAAGAAGCGTGGGAACCCTGTACTGTACACAAGTCATGCATACAGAATACAGCTATTTATATCTTAAACAACAACTTTTTAACATGACATGTAAATTAGCACAATAGATAAATAACTGGCGTACCTCACATCGTATATAAAAATACAAAATACTATAGAACACATTATAATCAGTGATGCTGTCTACACTGGATGCGGCGACACGACAAATCCCGACAGTAAACTGCTGCCGCGTTCTATTTATGACATGCTGACACAAAGTTTAAATGATTTTCAATGGTCGCTTTGTCACGTCCAGTGTAGACAGCTGTTGAGGTGCGGCGCCACGGTATGGAAGGACCAAACTCCATCTCTGAGTCGCTGTCATCGGAAGCCTGTGTTGCCAGATGTTGAGGAGGTTCTTTTGCATTACAGATTTGATGCCCTCATGGACCACAACATAGTGCTCGTTTGCTTAAAAGCAGGGCACCCTCCCACATTCTTAACCCGTTTAGTGTCTGTAATGAGCCAATTTCGTGTATAGGTATAGAAGCCCTATGATTACAGCGACCATTATTTGAAATGTCACAAAATTCTGAAATTATCGTACATTATGGGATTACAGAGGTCTAAATTATCGTACAAATACGATAATTATCGTACGTCTGGCAACCCTGGTTTTGATTTATATGCTGTTTAATGCTTAAAGGCACAATATGTAAGTTTTTGCGGCATGTTCAAAACATTAACAAAGGCGAAGCTTGACGCTGTGAAGAGGGTTGGAACCAATGGGCATTAAGAGATGATATGATCTGATATGATATTCACGAATCATGTTCACGGATGAGGTAATGAATTACCTGTACCTTCCACAGTTATTCAAACAGCAAATAAATTATACAGAGAAAGCGAGCAAAGAAAATTTACATTGTCAAAGAACATTATGACTGATTTCAATCTAGCACGAGATTAAGCACTTTCAAAAAAACTCCCCTTGTAATTAGTAAAGCTGTCTATACACTGCTTGATGAATGAATCACTTGCTTGCATCATACATACATCTGCAATTGTTTATGAAGAGAGAATTCGCGAGCTGAATTCAGTTCAGACTCTTCTGAACACCTCTGATTGGCCATTGCATTCATAAGCTCAACAGACTCGTGTGTGATTGGTTATAATGCACAACACTGTAAAAACGCGGAACATTGAGCAGATATAAATTTTATGCTACAGTCAACACTTTTCATTTCAGCCATAATGGATTTACTTTAACTGTGCAGCGGCATTTTGTCCACAAAACCGAGGATAGCGCAGATATTACGTCATTGATAGGCGACCATGACCATGGAGGAACAGGGACGAGTCAATTTTGTCAAACTCTGGATTTACAAATCCTTGGGAACTTTTCGAATAGCGCAAGTACACAATTGCATGAAATACTGTATATAACACTGTGCAAGTGGTTTTTTGATATTTTATTATAAAAATCTTACATATTGTGCCTTTAATGATCGTGTTATTTTACATATGCATCTGCATATGCATCAAGTCAGTGATATGAACTAAAAAGCAATTCTTGCAGCAGTGTTTTTCTCCTTTTAAGTTCCACCCGGTAGTTCTATGCATCTGAGTTTGTGCACTGCTCACTTTTCCCCTCCTTTTCTGAGCAAGGTATAAACAGTACTGAGACTCAGCTAAAACTGAAGAATCTAGTAGTTCTTTAGTCAGTGGGATGTTGAGAACCCCTCTGTGAGACAGAAGTATGAGTTTCTGATATAAAGCCCAACGCTCTTGGTATGACTGGGTGAGGAATCCATGCAAGATCACACATAGGGCCTGTTTACACCTGGTCACTTCATGCGCTTTCTCTAATCCGATCATGAAAAGACCAGGGCTGCGTTTCCACCATTGCCACCAAAGGAGCTACGATGAACTTGGGCTTACGGTGCTTTTGGGAAACACAGCCCTGGTCAATAGTAAAGGTATATAATAAGGCCGTTTTGTCTCATCCACATGTCAAAGTTTTCACAAGCTCAGAGTCAGGAAAAATGTAATACTTTCAAGTCATTTACTACTAAATTTACATTTCACAGTTACTTCTTGTCCACCTAAACACCCCAAATCTAGCATCTTTGTTAGCATGTAAATAAGTGACCATGACAATCTGCAGCTAATCAAAAATACGTTTGCCTTTTCAAGTCTCTCTTCTGTTTGGGCTCCAAAAAATTGAAACCTCAGCAAAAGGGTTTTAAGACTATTTATTTATGTTATCTGAGACTTTTTATGGACTTGTTGAAAGTGGATTTAATGCTTTTGCAGGCTTTTCAAGGATCCACGGCTACCCTACTTTCACCAGATTGAAGGCAAAGGTGATTTTTGAAATTGCTACTTTTTCTAAACCTCTTGCCACACTCAGAGCACTGCAGTTTCTTGGCAGAATGAGTTTGTAAATGCCTTTTCAGATCTTTTTGATATTTGAAACCCTTCTCACACTGAAGACACGTGTAAGGCTTCTCTCCAGTGTGAACTTTCATGTGAGTCTTGAGGTTTGCTTTATTTGTGCAGCTTATTCCACAGTGATGGCATATAAAACCGTTCTCTCTTAAGTGAATCCCCATGTGGTAATTAAGGCTTTCGTTACGTGTGAAACTCTTTCCACACCGATCACATGTGAACGGCCTCTCTCCAGTGTGAATTCTCATGTGAGTCTTCAGATTTCCTTTTCGATTAAGCATTATCCCACACAGTTTGCAGGTGAAAGGTTTCTCTCCAGCGTGAACAATCATGTGAGTATGAAGGGGTCCTTTATGTGAGAAACTCTTTCCACACTTATCACATGTGAACGGCTTCTCTCCAGTGTGAATTCTAATATGAGACTTCAGACTTTCTTTTCGTAGGAAACTTCTTCCACACTGTTGGCAGGTGAAAGGCTTCTCTCCAGTGTGAACTCTCATGTGAACTTTAAGGTTTCCTTTCTGATTGTAACACTTTCCACACTGCTGGCAGGTGAAACTACCTCTAGTTCCAGTCTCCGGAGCACTTTTTTGAGAGGTCATAAAGTCATGATGTTTCTCATTTTGATCTTTCTCTTCTGTTTCATTCAGTTCTTGATTCTCCTCTTTCGGCACCATCTGGTCTAAGGCAAAAAGAGACCAATACATGTTAATCCTGGTTTAATGGCACAAAGTAAGAAACATCAAAACATTTAGACATTTAAATGCATCATGTCATGCATATGTGCCAAATTGCATGAAATGTTAAGCATGTCGAAACCCTCAAAAACACCCAATTATTATTCTAAGTTTGAAGTGATTTAGGTAATAGTGATTTTTTTCAAAGCCCGTTGTATGTGACACACATCCCGCTACCAGTTGGTGGCGCTGTGACCATGACTCACTGTAGTCACACCCACAGGATCAGCCTCCTTGACCAATCATACAGCTCAAGTTTGATTTCCATTTTTCACCAATATTTTATCCCTTTGCCATGTGAAAAAACAACCAACATATCAATAATCACATCACCTTCTATTATCTTGGCATCATGATGACCAAGTTTGGTGTCAATCACATGGATCCCCTCCAAGAAATGTTAAAATGTTTAAATATGTTCACAGCATGCACTATTTATTAAATTAAACTAATGGCTGTAATTTTTAAAGTTCATGAGAACAGTAAACGTACAGCGTTTGGTGATTATAGTTAACACGGATTTAGTCAATCAATAATTTAGTCAAAAGGGGGTGCTACAGAGCCCTCCGTTCAACATCCATGTCTTAGCTTATTCCTACACCTAATAACTGACAACTCTGATGTGTGTGCAGAATTTCATTAGAACCTTAATAATGTTAAGAGCATCAAAATCATCACTATCCCTTTAAGCCTCATCATAGCACAGAATCTGTGCTTAATTATCTGCTTTTGGCATCTCATCACAACTACATGTGTCTCTTCTAGTGCAATTTGGTAAACACAGACCATGACATTCTCTTGGACAGTTTGATTATTATGTTGGCATTTGTGCACAAGCATTAGCACAGCTTAGGTCCTATCTATCCAACCGCTACCACTTGTGTTTGATGAGATGTCTATTCATTTATACAAAGTATGGAGTGCCACAGGGCTCAGTATTAGGTCCTCTGCTTTTCTCCTTGTATATTTCTCTCTAAGGGACATTATTATTTATTTTCACTGTTATGCTAATGATACTTAGGTTTATATTTCCTCACAACCTGAAAACACTGCATAACTTAACTAGTCAGCAGAGCAGGCCCGGCGCCAGATTGTCATAATTGGGGGGCATTATTAGACCTGGTGACTGATTTGGCCCCTCCTGCTCCTTTTCATTTATTTATTCACTTAATTATTATTACTCTATATTATTGCCTGCCCGATATATATTCGGTTTTCAATATTAAATTGACTAATAATCTTAATAAGTATATCAGCCTTTATAAACTTTATTACAACTGTATATGTGTATAAATCAGCAGCCTAAGATTGCAACAGTTTATTTGGAGAACCGAGGAGGCCCAGGATTTTATGGCTCATATAAGCTATGAACATGAAGCGTAGTTCGGTTAAGGCTTTCAGTAAGCCTGCAGCCTCAAGTCTGATATCTGTGCTGTACATGTGAGTGGTTTCAATTTCACGGAGCATTTCAGTTATGCTGTCACCAGATTTCAACAGATGTCTTTTCAGTTTTTCACCAGATGTGTAAAGGGAACAGCACACACTGAAAAAGTCCTCTATTGCCTTAGATTTAATTTGTCTTGCAGTATTTTTTTTTGCATTTTGCTGTGTTTTCCAGACATAACATTTGCACTGTCATAACACTGACTAAAAATCTTGTCAAGCCTGAAGCTAGCATTAGTTAGTTCAGAGTTAACTAGTACAGTTAATGTCAAGGCGTCACATTGTTTGCTTGTAGTCATTGTAGTCAGTCTCTCTCGCACACGATAGCCGTCATCAACATATCTCACTACATTAGAAATGTTTTCACATCCAGCTGGGTCTTTAGTTCCATCCACTTTAAGGGTGTACCATGAATCACCGATCTCCTACACAATGTGTTCGGTGATAATCTCGCTCATATGCGAGATGTGATTTGGTTCTGGATGTCATAGGAGGTATACGTGGCATTACGTGGAATTGTGCTGAATGCTTCCGCGAATTCTTTCTTTTTTTATTGTGTACTCTAATAAGACCAAAAAGAGACCACCACTTTTCTCACCCATGGAGTTCACGGCATCTAAACTCCCTCGCAAAGGAAGCTTGTTCACAGCGATAAACAACACAATGTCCACTATTGCTGACGCACATACACGGTGTATTCCTAATTGCTCAGTATTGACAATAGTGGAAATTTCTTTACCCATTACGCTGCAAGAGTTTTGGCCTTCCACAAAGTCATGTATTTTCAATGCTCCTTAGAGGTTTCATGCTTCCCAATTTTATTTTTATTGCTGTCATTTGCGTGTTACCAGTTTGAATAGCCGGTATGAGTGAAAGCTTGAAAAGCACAAAATAAAAATGCATTTACTTAATTTTTACTTTTCTTTTTGTCCAGCATTAACTAAAAGCGCATGAAACCATTTCTTCAATTAATTTTTAAAGTCACCATGAAATCAAAATCGAAAATTCTTATCTTTTTTTAATGGAATACTATAGTGTTTATTATAAATAATTTATCCGTGCACTTAATTATTTTTTTTTTATTCATGTGCCCTCATAATCTTTAATCAAAAACATTAACCTCCCCTCCCCCTCAAAACGACTCCTCTTCTC